TTTTGGCGAACGTCGTCGGATCGATATTCCCAGGAACCCTTCTATTTTTCAGCATCGTACCGCCACCCTTCTGATCCTCGGCGTACGTTCTCCGGAATTTCGTCGAGTGCCGCGGGGTCGGACCTCGAAGATGGTGGCCGGGCGTCGCCGTACGTGAAATCGTTGTACCGAGTCTCTTATACCCGGCAACAAGAGTCGCTTCCCCATCTTTTCTTCCCCGCGAAATTTATTTTTCTCGAGGGCCGCACGTGAACGACGACTACGTGACAACGAAAGCTGCAAGTCATCCCCCTTCCCCGCCACTTGGACGCCGACCGCCGAGAAACCAGACACCGCCGCGACCGTAACGTTGTTGTTGCACCTGCTACGAACCGCATCCGCGAAACAATGGTCACCGTTCGCATAATAACTCTAGAAATGATCGACTCGAAATCGCGCGATTATTTAACCAGTTAGCCGTGGCGCGTTCTCTTTCAGAGCGCGCAGCTATTATGTATCGCGAGAATCGAACGGCGACGAGTATACTCGTCGAGCACAGAGTAAGTGTCGCTGTTAATATATTGGATCGAAAAAACAATTTTATTACTAATGCTTACTTATTCGCTTAACTACATGCATAATAAACGAAAAACGCAGAAAAGGACAAATGCTTATAAAAGTTAAAAAATTCAAATTGCTATTGTAGAATGATATTCAGGAAAGCAAGGTGTGATACATAGTGGCGCTTTGGACGTCGAACACCAATATCGTGATACTTTTATTCTTCTAATCTTATTTTTATAACCATGTAAACACCTTCGCGTATTCTAAACATCTTGAAATTTGAGAATACGTTTTCCTTTTTCACTAAAATTACAATTTAATTTGAATTTCGCTATTTTTTACGCGTGACGAGTATACTCGTCGAACACTGCTAACTGGTTAACGCAACGGACTCTAGAATTTTTTCTGCAGAGCTTGTCTCAGCTGACCAACAATTTTAACGCCTAGGCAAATAGACGCACATTTTTCAAATTGGCACTTGCCATAAGAATCTTTGCGCAAATTCTTATTTTCAACAAGAAGATTTAAATAATATTTAATAAATAAGATTTAAGAAGGATAAATGTTAAATTTTAACATCGAATAGAAAATTCTTTGCACCGACCGTAATGAACTTTTACTAAAAATTTATAGTCTGTATATAACTACGCGGCGAACTTTATGCATTCACGACAAAAATTATTTAAATTTGAAACGTTAGTAAATTTTAAACGATTCAAAGATTCCAATATGGCAATTTTAGAATATTACAGTTATTGAAGGAGGAGTTATTAAAGTTATTGAGGATTTTCTATATAACTTAAAAAGTTATATAGAAATCCCTGAGCAACTCTTGATTTTTGCAATGAATTTCTGCATAAAGGAACAGTTTTGCGTAAAGATCCCCGGCCTAGTCATCGATTTAATTAGGACTAGTGTGATCTAGAAATATCGAAGAAGCGATACGTGTCAAATTTTAACCCTTTGCACTCGTGACTATTTTAATTCCGAAATGAAGGCATTAGTTTCAAGCTACAATGTTTCCATTTGGTATGATTGTTTTTATTTGGTAATGAAAATTGAACGTGTAGAAAACCTCTATTATCCGACAATTTATCGAATACAGAAATGTCTCCATTACTGACGCTCAGATTGTCCACTAAAATGGATAATTTGGGAAGAGGAGACACGATTATTTGAGCCCCGCGGTTCGTTTTTATAATTGTGGACAATTTATAACTATAAAAATAAACCGCAAGGCTCGAATAATCGCATCTCCTTTTCCCAAATCGTCTCTCCTCTTCCTATTTTCGTTTACAAGCTGAAGGAAAATCGGGGAGAATTTGCTACTACAGCACAAGTAAATTCTCCCTAATTTTCCCTCGGCTTGCGAACAAAAGTGGACAATTTGGGAAGAGGAGATACGATTATTCGAGCCTCGCAGCTCGTTTTTATAATTGTCGATAATTAATAACTATAAAAATAAACCGCAAGGCTCGAATAATCGCATCTTCTCTTCTCAAATTGTTCATTTTTGTGCGCAATCTGGCCGTGAATTAGAGAGACATTATTCACTAGACAAATAATATAATTACAGAGAAATTTAATAACGTGAAAATTCTTTTGAAAACGGTGTAGCAATTTTTAGCGTCGCCACGGAGTCGTCGCTCGAGCGCAACGGTTTAACATTACGGTTTCTGTTGCGTCGAATTAAATCATTTCGCGAGATTCTTTAGCGGTTCGGTCGCTTCCATTTAGAAGCATAAATTCGAACGACTCTGTGCAACCTTAACAACAGCGAGAATGGCAGATGCAATCTCTCCGGTTCGAGACTTTCTCGGTGAACGAACGCTTCCGAAAGATCAAAGTTACAAGAAAGTGGGTCGGGTTAGATCGGTGTAAAATAGGTTGAGTGCCGCATTTTATGTAATAGCATCCACGAAATCTGTGTCAGAACATTTTGCCGAAAATAATGCATCTCTGCGGAACAACGCGGCCGAGTGAAACGATTTTCCTTTATGCCTCGGATAACCGTACCGCGACGAGGACAAAGTAACAAGAAGAACGATCCAGCCTCGTCAAACGCCGGTCCCCGCCGTCCGTATTTAAATATACCGCCGCTTCTAGCTGGCCGATGCTCGTAATAATTCACGAGCTCTGTCGCTCGAAGCTCGGTGGTCCGGGTGCAAAAATATTTTTTTATGGAACCCCGAATGATCCATAAATCGTGCGGCGGCGGCGCGCACGTGCTCGCCGGCTACAGAATTATTCCAGTTTTCTGCCGGCGTAAGTCCGTTCGCGGAATACGTTCAGCCGGCTCTTCCTTTTTCTCTTTTTTTCAATTCTGTAAACGGTCTCGCGTTATCCATGAATTTTTACGACCGATCCGCGATCGTAAAAATGGTTTTCTCGCGGCGCGACGCGGCGCGACGCGGCGCGGCGCGGAGCGTAGACGGCGCATAAGCGATTCATGATCGATATCGCGGGTCGCCGAGGTTCGGCAGACGACGGGACAGGGGGCAGAGGGCGTGTAGGATGGTACAGTGGCAGAGTGTAGGGCGATCCCGCCGGAAATTACGCTCTCGGGCTGGAGACGGAGCTTCCGGTTTCGCGGAACGTAAACTGGTTTTTTTCTTTTTTTCTTGTGCGCGCGCGCTAGAAGACACCGCAAATACACGCGGTCTTGCAGACTCTTCTCCGTGCTACGCGACTC